CAAATTTAAACATTGAAAATTTCAAAAAGATAATAAATTTATTTATAAATATTGTAACTTAGAGCATGTTATTTTTTTGTAAACTGTACTGACAAATTTTATATTTTAAATAATTATTTAAAAAACTTATTTTAACGTATAGAAACATGTTTTAACATTGTACTTGCACTTAACCTCTCAATTACATTTGTTTTTACAAGGATATAATATACAATATGAGAGTTCGACAAAAACACATACACATCTTTGTCGTTTTTCAACTGTTTCCGCCTATAAGACTCATATTACTACTCGGCAATAACCCTATAGTGGAAAGCTATTGGACACATATATTCCCAAATCACACGCTTCTGAGGCGCCAGCGGCTTGTATATCACTGAAAAAAATGATCTTGCAGTCATAGCGAAAATTATTTAGATATGAAAAATTAGCTAAAATGGATAAATGACTAGCAAGCACTGCGATATCATATATGTTTTGTATGTAACCAATATACGTGGCAGAGACAGAATTTATATCGGAACCATTTATCAAATTTAGCAATAAGTTTCTCTATCGCTCAATCAGATTATAGCCAGTCACGCTTCTTCTAAAAGTGACTGTGGTAGACAGAAAATATTAGCAATGAGAGATACAAATGAATGTATAATCCTTACACTCAGCGCTGTTTATGTAACCCGTCCAATCTTTCTAATTGCGTTAACAAATTTTCTGCGTTCAACTGCCGTACAAACGCCGGCATAGCGCTCGGTACACTGAGGGAAAAATGTAAAGTATTTAGAAAGAAATGTTTGCTTGTAATATTTTCTTCCATATTTATTGGTTATAAAAAAATTTATCTGTAATAACGAAATATACATTTCTGTAAAATATATTTAAGTCTTTTAACTAATCGTGAGAAACAAATTGTTTAACTCTTGTTGAAAAAATTAATTTACTTCAGGCAAACGTTTATTTGTTTATAGCAATGATATTTAGTTATAACAAGATTAATATTTGTAACTAAGCATTTATTTTCAGAAATCAAATTTATTTTTTAGAAATAAATCTTATTTGCGTGGATCCGAAGTTAATTCCGGCTGTTCTATTTAGGATCCTTTACGTGTTATTCGTATATCGGAGAACACTGATTCGCATTGCATCATGTAATATGGCGAAATAGTGGCGATACATTGTCGTTTCGTGGTAACAGTGACAGTGATTATCGTTTAGTGATTATCGTTTATATGATTTGAATATTTTGACAACAAAATGAAACATATTGTGGAAGTATTACATTTAGAGCGTAAATATTTTTAAATAAAATATTTATAAAAATAGTTAATTTATAAAATATAATTTATAAAATTTATAATTAAATATAATTATTTTATAAATATAATTAAATATAATTATTTTATAAATATAATTTATAAAATTAATAATTACTTTATAAAAATATTTATCAATATTTATAAAAATATTTATAAATATATAAAGATAAATATTTATAATATTATCAATGTTATAAGAAAATTATAATTAGTGCTTCGACTACATATGAGGACAATAAGAAACACTTAGTATCAGTTGAAGAAGTAGCGCAGCAGCTAATAGACTAGAAACGTGGAGATATCTGAAGTTCTCGAGTTCGCGTCCGACCAGTACTGAGTAAATTTTCAGCTGTAGAAATAGTGAGAAATCATTAACAAAAGAGCTAAGTTTCATTTAAAATCAAATAAATTAGAGATTTATTTCTGTAAAATAAGCCTTTTACATTCTACAAGTAAATTTTCAAGTCTTTTTTTTCTCAGTGTACTATCTTAGTACTACAGCGATATACTTTAACTATATTTTTCACACAGATGGTTTTAGCGATTCTTATTTTCATCAAACATAACAATTCATATATAGTTACGAGGCCTAAGTTTTCCTGCACATATTGCTATAATATTGCTGCTAAAAATTTTACGTATCACAGACAATTTTCTAGCAGATATAAAAAATAGCGATCCATTTTGACTGTAACATTTAAAATTCTAGCTGGACCAGTAAAACATTTTTTTGAGTGATATAAGCTGCGAGTAGGTCAGAGCAGTAAGTGTCCACTAGCAGCAAGCTGAAAATCGGCCGAGATATACTATTTCTGCCGAACTCTGCATTTAGTATTCAACGATGGATAATAAATAACATAAAACATGTGTAGAATATCGAACCTGATCGGCAGCGATATAATGAAAATTATAAAATCTGTGGCACAATTTAAACGAATATAAACTTTCACATTACAAAAAATTCACTTTGCTGAAAACATTCTTCGCTTTCAATCGCAATTGATAACATTCGAACAAATGTGAACCGTCGCGTTGAAAAATATTTACTTTTTCTACTAATTATTTTCAGATTCAGAGGCATACATGATTTTCACGTTCTGTTCCCAGTATCGCACTGAAAAGTATTGACCCACGATCCAATCCGAAATTATTGCAAAGCAGAATTTATTACAATATCTTATGAATGCGAAACAATACTTTCGAATAAGATATTTTATGCAGGGGTATATCAAATACGCGTATCAAGTATTATCTAAATGTGAAAATTGATCATATGTTTGAAAAAGAATGTTTGGGAATAATACGAGTTTTTATTTAACTGTAAGCCTTTACGCGATTCTAATTTATTTGATAAAAAAAAATTCGACCAACTCAATATATTTTATGAATCGACTGTGTTGATCATTTTCAAACTTTACTACTTCGTGAAAGAATGAGATAGATCTCTCGTTGTTATAAAAAGTAAGACAAGTTAGTTGTTTGAAATTCGGAGAGAATGCGTATATATTATCGTTTATTGTTGTTCTGTTTTTCAAGATCGTTAACATATCCTATCTGATCCTTGGAAAGAGTAAGAACACAATAAGCAAATTTGTAACATACAATTCCAAGATATTTGAAGTAAATAATCGTAGTCTTAGTTATATGGAGCGTTATACACACTGTGCTATATATATATATTGCTATTATAATTAAGATTAAGAAATTATTTTCCTTGCATTCTTACGCATGTAGGAAAAAATGTCTAGCATTCTTGCGCAAAAATTATCAAGTATTAAGACCGCATTTAGAAGAAAACGAATCAATAAATAATAAATAATAATTGATGATTAATTAATAAATAATTAATAAATTCCTATATACCTGAATATTTGATAAAATCCGAGCAAGAGAAGAAACTGGTGAGTATTGCAATGTGTGTCGGCTACACTGGACGTTTCCCTCTATGTATAAAGTTAAAAATTGTATGCTTAGTGGATAGAAAATTGTAACACGGTTTTATCTCGATAAGTCTCGTGATGCATGCCGTATACAATAAAATTTGTTTTTTAATTATTCTCAAAAGATAATTTTCCTATTACAACTACAAAGTAAGGCCAATAAGAGTCATAAAACTGGTTAGCGGTGTGCAAAGCTTTAATATATGTACACTATTAGATGACCGAACTTACAATTAATTATCATAAACGTTTCGGTTCTCGCTTTGAACCTTTATCAGTATATTACTCACAAAAAATTAGACAATAATTATAATTAAATAAATATTTGCGAGAAAAACAGTCATCAAGAAGTACACACGCTGAATCCGGTAAAAAATGTAATATAAGATTTTGTCCAAAATAATCATAAAAACATCTCTCTGTGTCCCAATAGTTAATTGTTCATTAAGGCCTTTAGAAGAGATAAATTATTTGTTTTAAAATGATTACACCTAATTATATTATATATAAATTCACATACCAACAGACTCTAGTAAGCAAATTCAGGACGACCACCAATCTCTTACAAACATATGAGTTGTTCTTCATCCGCAAATAGAACCGTGAACAATGTCAACATTCTAATACGCAACGATCTTAAATAATACAAAGTAAACAAGAAACTACAATGTTCAAATTCGTTATATTTTAACTCTATTGATAATGGGCAAATATATGTTATCTAATAAATCTGTGTTACTTTAGAGATTCAGACTTATGTTTTGTTTTTTGATATGTAACATTTCCGTAATCAACCTTTTTTTATATAAATTGGAATATAATAAATTTTTATTATAAATTGGTTCAACATCGAGTATTTCCACATTAAAATTTTCCTATTAGATAAGGAATATATTGCGATACTCAAGATAAAAATGTTGTAACCTTTTATCTACTGGTTGTGTAAGTAATCGTAGTAATAATAATAAAGCATACATAACGCAATGTTTATATTAACAACGATGACAATATTTCTTTTTAACTTTGATCTTTTTTTATGATTTTGTCGTTAATCTTATGCTTATTTATTGATTGTTAGAGTAGAGGAGAGGTTTTCAGAATATTTTAAAATGTGCTCAATTAATTGCAAGTGTCATATTCTCTTATGTGACATTCGCATCGTATTTTGCAAAAATTTTGAGCATATATTTTTTTTACCTCTGGTGTCATTAATCAAGGTGATCGTGGCAAGAGCATCTTAAAATACTGTAAAGAACTATACATATAAATGCTGTAAAATTACATATATGTTATTTTATTATATACAATTTTAATATATTATAACTTATAGTTATTAAATCCATAACATTTTTTCTTGATATATTCTATACTTTCGAACAAGATGAATATATATATGAATATATGATGTATATATATATATGAATATATGAATATATGATATATATGAATATATGATGAATATATGATGAATATATAATATATATATATATATATATATATATATATATATATATATATATATATATATAAAATATGGAGATTGCAAGTTAAAGTTTTATAAAAATCGTGTAAAAAGTACATAATGCTCATTACTTAATAATGCTCATTACTTACGAGCACATAATGGTCATTATTTAAATATACAGATCTAAAATAATTTGGAAATCAGGTCTTTGATTCCGACTGTATAACATATGCGAGAATTATCAAGTATCGTATCGATAACGAAATAAATTTTTTGTTCCAGCTACCGTGGGACATGATCCGCAGACGAGCAATGGTGGTCAGTCACAACTATTGCAGCAACAACAACAGCAACAATTGCACTCCGGAAGCACTTGGTTGGGGAATAATGCCGGCGATATCGGGAGCGGACTGGTCTGTCGATCATCGACGGGCAGATCGATCAACAATGGCAACGGTTGGGAGAGTGGTAAACTGGCGACGTTACGTCATCCTCAACAACAACAGCAGCAACAGCAACAAAGCCAATCTGGGAGTGTGGGGGATGACGAAGACGGGGGTGGAGGGAGCGGAGGGGTGGAGGGGACGGACGCAGAGGAGAACAACGCTGTTCACCTCAAGAGACGGGTGGGACTCGTCAGTGGGGTGGCTCTAATCGTCGGTACAATGATCGGCTCCGGGATTTTCGTCTCGCCGTCGGGTCTGCTGCTGCGCACTGGCAGCGTCGGCGTGAGTTTCCTGGTGTGGACCGCGTGTGGTCTACTGAGTCTGTGCGGCGCCCTTGCGTACGCCGAGTTAGGCACTATGAACACGAGCAGCGGTGCCGAATATGCTTACTTCATGGACGCGTTCGGCGCGCCGCCGGCTTTCCTATTTTCCTGGGTATCTACCTTAGTGCTGAAGCCATCGCAGATGGCCATTATTTGTCTGTCATTCGCTCAGTATGCCGTCGAGGCGTTTGCTGCCGATTGCAATCCTCCCGATGAGGTCGTCAAGCTCGTCGCTTTACTGGCGATCGTTCTGATACTCCTTGTCAATTGCTATAGCGTGAACCTGGCAACCGGCGTGCAGAATGCCTTCACTGCTGCCAAACTGATGGCGATACTCGTCGTAATAGTTGGGGGTTCATACAAATTGATACAGGGTAATACTCAGCATCTACAGACGGCATTTGATACCATCGACGGCAGCACAATCAATATTGGCCGCCTTGCCACTGCTTTCTACACCGGCCTTTGGGCCTACGATGGCTGGAATAATCTCAACTACGTGACCGAGGAGATCAAGAATCCTTCTAAAAACTTGCCCAGGTCTATCATGATTGGTATACCCCTTGTCACGCTTTGCTACGCGCTCATCAATGTCTCCTATTTGGCTGTTATGTCACCCTCCGAAATGATCGAGAGCGAGGCTGTGGCGGTGGTAAGTGTAATCGATGAATAAAGTAACGAAATTCGCTTGAACGATTATACAGGGTCGTCAAGATAAATCCGGAAAAACACTATATAAATAAAACACAATTAAAATACAGGAAAAGTATCAATATATCGTAATTTGGTATCAACGAATATAAAAAAAATGAAATTATGCAATGTAGCCTCCACGATCTTCTTGAGCCTGGATCTAAAGCGGCTGTAGGCATACTTGATCTCCTCCTTGTCCAAATGTGTCATTATCTTCATGATGGAGGACTTCAGAGCATCTTTGGTATTGTAATGCTTTGCATTGACCTTTGCCTCGACCACGCCCCATACGTAAGAATCAAAGGGGTTGAAGTCGGGATTAGATGGAGGCCATAAGTCGGGGGATCAGCGGTAGGGCAAATTGTTGTAAAGCCAAATCTGAGTTTTTTGTTTTGTGAGGTAGTGCCGAGTCCTACTGGAACACATATTGCCTTCCAACGATTATTTTATCCATCCAGGACTTTACAATCGTCTTTAGCATGTTGATGTAACCGTCGGCGTTCACCTTCAAACTCTCTTCGAAAAAATGGAGCACCATGACGTCATCAGATCGCTTTCTGTGTATTACCCGGTCAGCAGTAACCTTCTCTTTGTTGTCGGACTCTCTGAACTTCTTGGCTATGGCATAAATTTGCGTCTTTTTGTAGTCAAACCATGCGATTATTTTCGTAAGCGATTTGCTGGCGCGAAACGTTTCGAGTATCATCGTCCTCCGCTCATATTCTCAGTTCATTACTGGTTGTTAATTGTTCAGTGATTGTTTCTTGACTGACTTTGTCGAGACGCGCCACAAACGCGATATGCATTCAAAATCGGCGCTGATGTCGTCGCTATAAGTAAACAAGTTAAATTTCCGGATTTATTTCGACAGTCCTGTACTTTCCACGAAAGATTAAAAAGACATTTCTCTTGCAAGAAGCAACGCGTTAAAAATGATAGAAGTAGAATTCTTTTAATTATCTCTGATATATGATACTTGAGGTTTTTACGGTGTAAAAAAATGTTTGATTTGGCTTCTAAGTTGATGATGTGTTCTTCGTGGATTTGTTTCGATTGTTTCGTGAATATTTCATTTTTTTGGAAGGGAGGAGAAAGGGAGAGGAGGAAGGGAGGAGAAAACAATGAGAAATTGTTCAACTTAAAGATGTTTCAGCTTGTTTCTTTCCTTGAAAAAGTGAACCGTAAAATCGTTCAATAACAGAATAATTTCAGTATATTTTGAATTTTAGTATAACTTTTAGGAAAAGTTACTTTAAATTGTTCAAATTATGGTTAACTATAAATTTAAAATTTATAGTTAACTATAAATAATTTTAAGTAATTTTAAGCAATTTTAAGTTAATTTGAACATCTTAAAGTAATTTTTCCTAAGGGAATTTATTTTACCATACCCTATCATATCTAGGAATTGCACGTTATTTGCATATTCCAAGCGATATATTATTTCTATGTATGATAATTAAACTATTTTACGTTTTGCAGACGTTCGGCAATCGAATACTGGGTGTCATGGCGTGGCTGATGCCACTCTCCGTGGCAATCAGCACGTTTGGATCTGCCAACGGCACTTTGTTCGCCGCGGGTAGGCTTTGCTTTGCTGCGTCACGAGAAGGACACTTGCTCGATTGCTTGAGCTATGTGCACGTGCGACGTTTCACTCCTGCCCCAGGCCTCATCTTCCATTCCCTCGTAGCAGGTATTACGCAATGCAAGTGATTCGATCGTCTTGATTGTTTCGGGTGGAACAATTGCGTGTTCTAAATCGCGTGATCATAGTAGATTTCCTTCGGTTCTTGTGATCATTTGTAAGTGACCATAAAAGATAAGAAAAATTAGAGAAACATAAGTGACAGTAACTGATAAGACAATAGATCTATAATATCTGCTTTCATCTATTTTTAATATGATTATGATTAACGTTTAGATAGAAAATATAAGCTTTGAATTAAAAAAAGTCTAAAGTGAAATTTTAAGGAATTTTTAGTAAAAATTTTCATTGAAATTTGGAAAGTGTACATGTAAAACATATGCATAGTGCATATTTTAATAAGACTACGCTTAATTACGCAGGCGCGATGGTTCTTTCCGGTAACATTGACTCGCTGATCGATTTCTTCTCGTTCACCGCTTGGATATTCTACGGCGGCGCAATGCTAGCTTTGTTGGTAATGCGGAAGACCAGGCCCAATCATCCGCGACCTTATAAATGCCCATTATTAATACCGGTGCTGGTGCTCGGCATTTCCGCGTATTTGATAGTGGCGCCGATCATCGACAAACCGCAGATCGAGTACCTGTATGCGGCCGGCTTTATCGGTGCGGGCATGCTTGTCTACCTCCCATTTGTCAAGTTTGGATACGTGCCCAAATTCATGGGTAAATATTCGATGTTACTTAATATACGATGCGTGTAAATGATGCTCGATTCACTAAATTAATAGACGACCAAAAGTTTTACAATATACTCGGGAAAAAAATATTTATATAGGATATCTAACAATTAAAGGTATAACATTCATACAAATAGTATAGGTCAAACTTAAATCATTTTGTAAAAATTTCGCAATAGTTATTAAGAAATTAAATAATATGAACAAATGAACATACGGCAAGCGATAAGATTGATTCTATAGAAATGTTTAAAAAAGATGACTTCTCTTTAACTTGGAAAAAAAATCTTATTTTTTAGGATCTCCTAGTAACGATGAAAATTAGCTGATAATGAAAGACGTGCTTTGTGTCACATGTTGCTCGCTGCGTTTAGGAAACATTAATTAAAAAAAGTTGGCAAATAATTACGCGCGATCGTTAATCAATCTTCTTTAATTAATCTTCAACAATCTTTTTTAAACTCCAAAGTTTTCGCGATTGTTTGCAAAATGATAGAGGAATTTTGTGTTTGGTTTATCCTAATCTACATGTACATAGGTGTTTTCTTATCTACTGTCAGATACTTTGTGTATGTCCACATCGAAAAAAATGTTACATAAGTACAGTTGAAGTGAATGGTTATGTTTGTGGCAGCTTGTGATGTCAATGTTTAATTGAATAAAATTATCTTTTTTTTCATCTAACAGCTTTTTTCACATGTGGAGATATACAGGGTGTCCCAGACTCTCCTCCGCATATTTTGTGGAAATGTAAAATGAGTTAAAGTGAACATAAAAAGTCCTATATCCTTTCGCGATGTTCGCAATAATAACCGAGAAATTAATTGTAAAAGATTAATGAAAAACGCACGCTGAATGGTTGAGAGAGGAGCGCTCGCGATCTAGTAATATAGCAGGCAGATGACAGCGCACAGTTTATATCGCTATGATCCTACGTCTTGCCGCATCGCGCTGAGGCGAGATGTAGGATATAAGTATAGGCAATGGTGCGTTGTTTTTCCAATCACCGTGCGCAGACATCTATGCGTTATATTATTAGGCCGCGAGCGCTCCACTCTCAACCATTCAGCGTGCGTTTTTCCTTGATCTTTTACAATTAATTTCTAGGTTATTATTGCGAATATCGCAAAACGGTGTAGGACTTTTATGTTCACTTCAACCCATTCTACATTCCCAGAAAATATGCGGAGGAGAGTTTGGAACACTTTGTATAGTGTCTGATATAACACGTCTGCTCGTAAACAGATAGAACTCATTAAATTGAATGTAAAATTCTGCACCATTTTATAAACAACAATAATTTTTGAGATATTAATTAAAGAAAATTAGAGCAAATAAGTAAGTTCACACAGTAACTTGGATTGAAAGAATTCGTCTCATCATAATGCGATGGAACGAACTCTTTAGAGTTCTCATCTAAGATCTCATCTAAGATGTCTGGATCTGTTGACAATCTCTTGACAATGATAGATACATAATTATAATGCTGAATAGCAAAGGTGTTAGCATCATGTACAATCGGCATCGGAAGATGGTTTGGTTTTTTTTGTGATTTTCGGAACATATCTGTTTCGTTCAATGGAAGATTCTCTTATTGACAAACAAATTCTATTGGATACCCAGCAAACACAATAATATAACAGTTATATCGTCATAATATAACGGAATGTAACGTGCAATATAACATGTTTGTTACATGTGATATACACGTTAGTTGTAATTTTCCACTCAAACGATATTGCAACTATAAAACAGAAATATAACATGTTACTAAAATGTTATATAGCTGTTATATATATTACTGAAATGTTATATAGCTGGAAATAAATTACTGAAATGTTATATAGCTGGAAAATAAATTATTATTATTTCGTTGCAATTATAGATATTTAATTGTACGCAGGGATTATAAGTTATCACTTAAATATCAATTAATTTGTAAAAGTATTATAATTATATATTTCATATAAAAATATTTTTACTAAAGATAATAACATAAAAGTATCTTGCCATTCTAAATTAATTAGCTCTCAAATAATACAAGATATTTCAAGATCATCCTAGAGCTATTCTAGAGGTCTAGTGTCCCACTATGTCCTCAGGTATTTTATGCTATTGGAGCTATTTTCATTTATTCATTTTCATCTTTCTGTACATATTCAAATGAAAAAGATTACTATTGTAACAGTATTTTCCATTAATCAAAAAGTATATCACTTTACTTTACTATAAAAGTGGACTCCATAATTCGCCAATCCAATTTGTCTCGTTTTATGATAATCGTTATTATATATATTAATGTATCATATCTTATGTACGAGAAAGACACGAGAAAACGGAAGCTATCTAGTGAATGATCCGATCCTTAGATATAAGAATGCTATATAACATAGATGTAATGCAAATAAACGTTTGTTATATTACATATTATCAGGGTTGGGTAGTAACTAGTTAAAAAGTTAAAAGTTAAGTTAAAAAGTGAAATAGCTTTAACTTAACTAAATAAAAAAGTTGATACAGAACGATTGAGAACGATAGAATTTCTATCAATTTGTATTGTTTTCTATAAGCTCTATCGCTCGCAAGCGTCAGCATCCTATCGTATTTTATCTGGTTCTATAAGAATCGGGTTCTATTTGTATTATATAGGAAACTGACGATAGAAATTCTATCACTATCTATTGTATTCTATCGTATACGATAGCATACTATTCACATTTGTGAATTCACGAGCCAAAATCTATATTCAAAACGATAAAAAACGATAATTTTATTTTATCGTTCTCTATCAACTTTTTTTTTACCAGGGTAATTACATTTTTACATTCTTAACTTTTAACTTAACTTAGTTACATTTCATCGATAACTATTAACTTTTAATTCAATTATCTTAAAGTTAACCATGCTATAAAGATGTCGCGAGACGTCGAAAGGCTGTTCAGTGCAGGAGGGCTCATTTTCGACAATCTTCGAGGAAAAATGTCCGATAAAAATTTCGAAAAAACTTTATTACTTAAATTTAATAAGTATCTGCACTGTAAAAACTGATGTGTTAAATTTCATGTGTCCCAAATCATCCACTCTTATTTATGTATAAATTTAACATAAAACAAATGTGGTAAAAAGTAACACGCATAATATGTAAAAATTTAACATAAGAATTTAACACTTGAATACGTCAGGAACACAGTTTGTGTTAAATTGACATATGTATAATGTTAAATTAACTAATAAATAAATTAAATAAAATGTTACTTTAACGTTTGAGAGAAGTATTAATCTATGGTTTTGATGAATTGAAAATGTTAAATTGACATAATCTATGTCTGACATATTAAATAATTTAACACAACCTGTGATTTCTAATAACAGTATTCAAGTGTTAAATTCTTGTGTTAATTTTTTCCATATTATACGTGTTACTTTTAACACATTTATTTTGTGTTAAATTTACTCATAAATGAGAGTGGATGATTTGGGATACATGAAATGTGTTAAATTTAACACATTAGTTTTTATAGTGTATAAATAAAACATGTTTCCAAATAAAGTGTATATTTGTTTTTTCTGTTATTTGTAAAACTGAAACCTTGAAGTCATGAAATGAAACAAATTTGACTTTTAACTTTTTAATTACTTTTTTTAATTAACTTAATTTTTAATTCAATTAATTTCATTATAGGTTAACTTTATCTTAACTAAGTTAAATTTTCAAAGCCATTAACTTTAATTTAGTTAAGAAAAAAAGTTAACTTACCCAATCCTGCATATTATATTTTAGTTATGTTGGTCTTATATAATTATAACCTGTAAATAACAGAGAATAATAACAGTACTAAAACACAGTTAGATTGCAGTTATAAAAGAAAATTATGTAACTTTAACATTAATAATGTATAACATCTGTTATATTATGTGTTACTTCTATGTTATATAATAGTTATATTCTGTGCTTGTTGGGCAAGATGATACGTTCTGAAAGCTATAAAAAACCTGGATAATCTTTCTGACGTCGATTGTACACTCTCGGTCGGAAAGATTGGCTTTTTGTAAATTTCGAAACCTATCCGTCTTGTCCAATGAGAGAACTCTTTTATTGAAAAATAAATTCTTCCATTGGATAAGATATAGGATTTGAAACTACCAAAAAGACAAAAAACAATCTTTCCGACTGCGAGTGTCTCAGCTATTATTGTCACGAAATCGTTAACAGATTCGAACCATTTTAAATGAAACTTTATTTACTTTATTTACAGAGTTCTTATCACATTCATTAATATTGTTTAATTAATTCCTTAATAACTATTGTGAATTTAATAGAGGCTTTTCTTATTCAGTTTCCACTCTACTTGCACATGTTTGCCTTTAACTCTTATTCAGTTTCCACTCTACTTGCACATGTTTGCCTTTAACTCTTTCGCTGCAGTGAAATCCAATGCAAAAAGCGCGCAGCAGACAGATACTCTGTATATGTGACCATATAGGAACAATTTATATATAGTTTTAATATATAATTATATTTCATTTTATACAATTACATATATAGTTTTTTCCCTGAAGACAAAAAGAAATTTGGATTCGTCTGCTTTTCTGAATAGTTGACCACTTTTTCATTAAACATGTCTCAATGAAAAATAAATTGAGTCTTGCCAGAGGAAAGTGAAGATTGAAATACTAAAAAGTTTCTAATTTAGACTCTATATATATACGCACATACACACACACACACACATATACGAAAAAAGTGTAAATCCGAGCAAGCAACCTCCGCGTGGTATAATGCATAATATTAATGCCGGCGGTACTGTAACTTTCAAGTTTTATTACTCAAAAAGTATTAAATGAAAAAATACGTTATTATAGTGTTTTGGAAAGCTTTCAAGATAAGCTACAAGATTAAAAGTACAATAAAAAGTAGGAGGTTCCATTTAAAAAATTCAGTTGATTTTGGCGTAACCCTAACGCCTTCATCCAACGTCAGACAAA